TCTCAAAACATCCATAACTTGAAATAAAAAAAAAATAAAAAAATCGGGTTCTGGCTATCTCAAAACAACCAGAAGCTGAAAAAATATTCGGGTTCTGGATATCTCAAAACAACCAGAAATTGAAAACAAATTGTTCGGGTTCTGGCTATCTCAAAACAACCAGAAACTGAAAACAAATTGTTCCGTTTCTGGCTGTCTCAAAACAACCATAAACATCATAGCAATTAAATTGCTTCTACGACTCGTTGTAACAAGAATTGGCCCGGCATGGCCAGGTGGTTAGGACGCTCGACTCGCAATCTGCGGGTCGCGGGTTCGCATCCCCGTCCCACCAAACATGCTCGCCCTTTCAGCCGTGGGGACGTTATAATGTGACGGTCAATCCCACTATTCGTTGGTAAAAGAGTAGCCCAAGAGTTGGCGGTGGGTGGTGATGACTAGCTGCGTTCCCTCTAGTCTTACACTGCTAATTTAGGGACGGCTAGCGCAGATAGCTCTCGTGTAGCTTTGCGCAAAATTCGAAACAAACAAGTAACAAGAATTCTTATAACATAAGTTTGAGATACGCGTGTTTTAATAATTCTGAGACACTTGTATATACATTATATATATATATATATATAAAACGTACCCGTAATCAAATAATTCTATGGGCAAGCCGTATTAGAAAATATATCTGTATTAGTGCCAGTTGATTTTTCTCTGATCAGTGTATCAGTTTTGGATTTTATTGTTTTTTCTCTGTGCGATTGCGCCACCTGTCATCATATAACGATCCTATACCTAAGCTAATAATTATTAAGACTATTTAGATGTTTATTCCTGGTGCGGACTTCATGTTACATATAAGAAACGAAATTTAAGGGTATTTTGGGTGCGTTTTTTTGGAAATAGGAACAACATTCCTCATCCCGTCACCATACCCAGAAATCAAGGACATTAGTGTCAGGTTACCTTATTCTAACTTAACAAAATGTTTTAATATATTTATGGAATTTTTCTTTAATGTCGTAAAATGAAAAGAACAACCACTCTCACAATATCTAATTATATCAGTAAGGCAATTATGAAAAATCATATTGACAGTAGCAAAATATTATTCAGTTAATAAATTACATACTAAATCACATATTCTTGAAGTTACTTAAATTAAGCAACCTGCTCTATCTTGTGACTTCATGATAATTTTCAGAAAACTCAATTATTTAAGTAAAAACGATAATGAAAGTGACATCTAATACGTGTTTCAACTAAAACGGCTACAAGCCCAAAATCTGTTTTATTTAGAAGCACTTCGGTTTGAAGTCTTTGAGTACACAACTAAACGTCTTGTGGTCGTTTTGAGGCAGAAGAAACTAAAAAACTATTTGGTTTTCTTATCGTTTTGAAAGAGCCACCAAGCAATACTGAGTTGTTTTTTTTCGCCCATTAAGAGATTTGGTCTTTGAGCATGTATACTTACCTGAATAATTATTGTTGATATAGGTTCATAAGTGTATGTTTTTCGCAAAAAGTAAACCTTACTTAACTGTTGCAGCATTTTATTATATATTTGTTACAGTTGTTTATTCCTTACAGAAAATTTCATCATAAAAAAGCTTGCCCAACTTTCAGCAACGATTACGTCTTGAATGACGTTTGACAAATAATTTCCTCTACAGGAAGTGACGTAACACTGAATCTCATGTTCAAATCAGTAGAATTTCTTTCTTTCAAAATGTTTGTTTGTTGTTATGCGCCAAGCTACACAATGGGCTAGCGGCGCTGTGCCCACCATAAGGATCGAAACCCGGTTTTTAGCGAGGTTACATTCTACGTGAACTATGGTTAATGTACCACAACAGAATTAGGACTATATCAAAACTAAAATTTTCACATATTCTCTAAATAAAATCTTTGTTATTCCAATTGTACATTTATTGATATACAGTTAAATAAATATTCAAAACAACGAAACAAAGTTCAAGATTTGAAACCTCAGATAATCACAATTAAAGTAGTGTAAAGGGTATCTCTTGATAGGATTCTCACAAGACGTGTGAACAATTTTTTATATTCGTTGCATTCGTTTGTGGGAGAATGTTAAGTGCCTATTAATAGTATTATTACACGTCAACACGTTCTTACAGTCGTACATGTATTGCACATACTAGACTATTTTGTTCTATAATATCACTATCATCTTCTCAAGCATATTAATTTGTTAATATAAAAATGAATGTTTCAAATAGTATCAATCACAGATGATATGATTTACTTTTTAAATCAGAACATTTCATATATTTTTTTACTCTAGCTTTTGATCCAACATCAAGCTAAGTAAGCGGAGGCCAGTTTTCGGACAGTGTCATCCTTACAAATTGCGGACAATGCATCCTATTTGTGCTTAATTAGAAAAAAAAACCATAACATGATGAGATGATATTCAATTTATATAGAAAAACATGTTTTAAAGAATATTAAGAACTAAAACACTATTTAAACATTACAAACACTAAAATGAACAGCAAACTCTACCACTGCTTCTAAGTCTAGATCTGCATTAGATCAGGTTTAGTACAGGCGCATTGCAGGTACTATGGAACCAATCGTGTTTCTTAAGTAAGAAGCTGTTCTGTAGTGTTCGCCGCGAACAGTAAGCCGTGGCGCACCTATAAGTTTGTCACCACTAGGGTTCTCCGCATTGAAATAAAATTCCCTGTTTCATTCAAATACATAACAGAGGGACGATATACACTAGAAATTGCTGTGTGCGTTGAAGTACAAAGTATTGAGAGGGTTTTCTGTGTCGAGACTTCTTCAATATTAACTGTGTTTTAACTGTTGAAACTCACTGTCGTGTAGGAATACATAGAACTGAGTGGCATCTGTAGTTCGATTTAGAATTGTGTGAAGTTGTGAACTCAAGACGATCGAGAGTGACTGGTTTCATTGAGGCTGAAGTGATATCGCTGAAAATAATGGTATGTGTTTATACAATATTTTATCACGAAATTATTGGTGAATTGCCTGTAATTTCCTCGTGATTAAATTTACTGCTTGAATAACTAATATTCACTTTTAGTAGCTCCGTAATTTCAATTAATTTATAACCTAAAAGTTACCACCGGCGATACGTCTGAACTCAAGTTAGACTCTGAGAGTAGAACAGTTTAAAAAAGTTGATGATAACTCAGATTAGCCTAACTGTTAGTGTTAATTTTGAGCGGTAACTATGGGGCTTGATTCTCCTTGGTGTACAGAGCACATATAACTCGTGTAGTTTTCTGTAAAAACTAACTTTTTTTTAGGTTTGGGACTTACTGAGTTACTCCGTGTAAGTTGTAACGATAAACTCTAAAATAAAATTTAAAACTAAAATGAGTCTGTATTACGCTTAAGCCTTAACAGAAACCCAAGCAATTGTTAGTGAAGTAAATCTTACTCATGGTTCTTAGGGTTAGACTAGCTAGTACTTAAGTTATTGCCTTTATTGAAACGTCAGCTAATGTCAGTAATGATAAATTTGGCTTAGTCTGATACTGACAGTTAGAATGACCTGTTGCCGTTGGAAGCATAAACTATAAATATATAATGCTAAAACTTGGAACATGTGATATTATTAAGGTTATGTTACAAAGTTTATTTTATATTTTTATTGAGTTTTGTTAGAACCAAAATATTAAAATTAATAACTGCTAACATTAAACTTATTTAAATTAAGTTGATAAGATATGTGTTGATGCTTCTACATTACTTATCTATATAAAAAAATGTATCAATCCTTATTAGATTTAGAATGCAGCTAATATTACACATACCATGGAACTGTTACCTTAACGTTTTTACACTATATTATAATATTATTTTAACATGACAGTGCCTGTTAACTTGTAACAAATATTACGATCTTTCATGTAAATTGTTGTGAAATCACAATACAATGATAATATTATACAAAGAATTAGTGAGAATTTTTATATTTTATTTATGTGGTCTTTATTTTATTTTCCTGCAGGCAGATCAGTTGACTGAGGAACAGATTGCAGGTAAAGAACAGCAGTGTTTCCCTTGTGGTCTTTGGACTTTATCAAGTCGCCCAAGTATTTTTGCTGTTGCCTGGATAATATCTGCTGTTTGGATACAAAAGCAGATTACAGCAGTTCCATATTTTGTCCACAGACCAGTTTCTTTCATTAAAAATCAAACATAAAAACTGGCCACTGAAGCTTCATACCGTCAATAATGTATAAGTTTCTTTCACTAACCTAAACCTCTACTTAAACCTAAGAAAACCGTGGCTGTAATGTTTACCTTTGTGTGCATGGAAATAGGCATAGCATGGAAAGTCAGCCACGTGTATTTTGTCGTATCGCATAACGTAAATTTCCCACACTAAGATTGCTATATTTCTTTGACCATATTATGGGCATGTTTACAAGTGAATGTTCAAATGTTGGTATGAATTTCATACACGAGTCGTACTTTTATGTATTCAAGTGCAAAAGTGCCAAGAAAGTTGTCGGAGATTTTTTTTCTAATCTTGTTTTTAACGCTTTGGTGATTTTTTAGCTTCTATAACGGCTAGTCTCATTTTAGAAAACGGGCATTTATAAGCATTTTATCTTGTTTTGTTAGGTGTCTTTACAAAACTTGAGAAAGGAGTAAAATTGTTATTTACTGTAGTTTAATGAAATTAAATGTGCCATACTATAATAAACATGTTTACAAGTAGCCATACAAATAGTAGTAGTTCTCAATAAAAGATTATTTAAATTTGTCTTTATCTTGTAGTTGATTAAAATATAATAGTATATTTCTTTTATCTTATATTTTTTGTTGCAGCATTTCTTATGGAATATTAAAGTGTAAATGAGTGATCTTTCCTTGTATACATTGTTTTAATGAAACTACCCTTTTGTGTTGCTTTGAACATCTGATTGATACAAAATAGGGCTTTCCATTCATGAGAATTTAGGTGACTTTCATCAGGGGCATTGTAAAAACTGACTCATTTTAACTTTCATTCCATGACATTTAAACTGGGAAGGTAGGCATTAGTGCAGAATTAAGGATTGTTAGTTCATTAAGTTTTTACTTAGTGATTGAAGATAAAACAACGTATTTCCAAATCTTGCATCAACAGCTGTTTTAAACTTTATACTAAACCTTTTAGCTTACACTGTAGTTGACAGTACCATAAATTAATGAACTATAAGAAATGTTTCTCTATACTGGTTTAAAGTGTAACTTTAAACTATCATTGATGGCAACGTAATTGTTTGAAACTCCCACCCATGTTTTATAACAATAACACAACCCATTGTCTTGATTGGTAGGAACTATTCCAGAGAAATGTTTAATTTAAAATTAGTAGGTTATGCATAAAGGCAAATCAACTTATATATTTACATTCAGAGTGAGCCTGTAGAAATGATTCATAGTAAGTTAGATGTTGAAGACAGCATAACAAAATTTGTTTGGTATACTGTTTTTAAAAAAAAATGTTTTTTTTCATTAATATTGTAATACAATAAAAGATTATTGACTGTGTATCATTAGTACTCTTGGTTATACTGCTTACAGCCAAAATAAGTACTCGGTTCATGAAACAATGCATTAAAGTATATTTAATTAGCTGTACTGATGGCAGGTTGATTTCAGTGTCGTATGAGTATATAGCATACTTTAACTATAAATTATTTATGGTTATCCAAGTTAGACTTAAGTTGCAGCTGTTTTTAAAAATTATATTCATTAAATTTTTTTTTTCTTCCACAGAGTTCAAAGAGGCTTTCTCTCTTTTTGACAAAGATGGAGACGGGACAATCACAACTAAGGAACTAGGAACCGTGATGAGGTCACTTGGCCAGAATCCAACCGAAGCAGAGTTACAAGATATGATTAATGAAGTTGATGCAGATGGTGTGTAAAATAGTGGACGTTTTTTTATTTGATACTACTCTTCTAGGCATCTATTAATAACTAATCGGTTTTAATTAGTCACTCGTACTACATTGATTAGGTTTCTTTAGCAGGTAGGTCAAGGACTTAAGATTGGTAGAATATTTTAGTGTGTTTATATATTGCAAAGATTCATAAGTTATGGCTTCCAGCAGGATTTTCCTGAAATGTGAGTCATCGTTTAAAAAAAAAAATACTAGATCTGGAAAACTGTACTACATTCTGTACAGAATTCATTATACTGTTGAAGAAGAAAACATGTTTACATTTTTAGATATTAGTTAAATAAATTAGTTATTTTACCTTATGAGTTAGTTAATGGTTGGGATTAATAATTTTGGTACTTTAATTTTAATGTGTACTCTTAGCAAGACCCAAGTGGTCTGAGCTACGTATTTCTTTCAGTCCTCATTGTTGTTTCATTGGTTTATTTCTAGGAAATGGTACTATAGATTTTCCTGAATTCCTCACAATGATGGCAAGAAAGATGAAGGATACAGATAGTGAAGAGGAAATTAGAGAGGCTTTTAGAGTATTTGACAAGGATGGTAATGGTTTCATTAGTGCAGCTGAACTTCGTCATGTTATGACGAACCTTGGAGAGAAATTAACAGATGAAGAAGTAGATGAAATGATTAGAGAAGCAGATATTGATGGTGATGGGCAAGTAAATTATGAAGGTATGCATTTCTCTTTTGATATAATTTCAATTTAAAAGGGTTTAAGTCTACAGTGCATGGTTTGGTGCATCCAAAGAAAAGACTTGTATACACTCTTTGAAACTTTTTTTAAGTAATTCATAATTGAAATTTAATGAATCAGTTTTTCATCTTTTATAGTTCATTTTTAAAAATTTCAAGTCATAACATTAGATTGGTTTTAGTGCACTCTAAATGAGAATATTAGTTTTTAACGTAAATTTTTAAGGAAATAATAAAGCACTCTTAGGAAAGTTTAAATATTTTTGAACAAAATGGGCCCCAGTTTGAACCATATAACTTCAATATAAGTGTTATTTTATTGATCTTAACCAGTCATTGTTTCTCATGGTTTTATGTATATAACTCTCGTGAGGACCGTAGGCTTGTGATATGTAATATAGGCTTCCATGTAGAGGTCAGAACAAAGTGATAAAAGATTAGTTTGATTATATGTTTCTAGAAGTAAACATGTTTGAGTAATCCACCATAATTATAGTCCTGACTTTTTTCTTAAGCCTTGCAAAACTCTTTATGATTGTATACTTCATTTGTATGACAATCTTTGTATCCCATTCTAGTAACCCTTTCCAACAATTTAATGTCTTTCCTAAGGTAAGGAGCCCATAACTGAACACAATACTCCAAATGTGGCCTAACCAGTGACCTGTACAATGAAATTATAACCTCTTTAGACTTGTATTCAATATTTCTGTAGATACAACCTAAAATCCTATCTGCCCTACCACTACCAACACACGGATGGCTTAAGAGACTGATCGATCAACCAGAACACTAAGATAATGTGTTTCCATAATACACTGTTATCGTTGAAAATTACACTTGCAGTTAAAATTATGATGACCCCATGCATTACCTTGCATTTATTATAATTAAAAACCATCTGCAATTTATTTGCCCAACTCATCAAATGACCCACATTCTTTTGTAAATCAGCAGCATCCATAACACGGACAACACCGTCTAAAACCTTAATACCATCAAGTTTAATTTGATGCAAATCAAAAGGGGCAAAGGCCCTAACACTGAGCCCTGAGGTACCCCATTTGTGACATTAATCCAATTTGACTGAACTGTTTATACAACCCTCCATCCAGCCAGTTTTCAATTTAATGAGCCAACCTGTCCCCTACACCTAGAGGTAATTTATTTTATTTTTTATGTAGAACCTTCTCTAATGCTTTCTAAAAATCCAGGTATACCAAATCCTTATTTACATAAGCAGTAACCTCTTCAAAGAATTTTAAAAGATTAGTAAGACAAGTAGTGTTATAACTGACCCTTTGCTTGAGTGTTCCAGTTGCAAATTTTTAATTTAACCATTTTAGTTATTTGGAGACCACCAAAGTAATACTAGACTTTAACAGATTATTATAATTAAAAAAAACAGTACACTGCTTGGCTCTGTTTATGTGACATCTCATTTACTAAAATTTGTTCAAGTTGGTGCTGAGGCCAAGAAAAATACATAATTGGAATGCAACAACAAATATTTTAACTTTGGTAGAATGGTGAGCTTTCAATTTGTATTTTATCAAACTATAATTCAATGAATTTTTTTATTTTTCTTTGGAACATGGAATATTGCAGGAACAAATTGTCTTCAATAACATACTTTTAGAGTATTACTAAAGAATGTATGTTGACCATCAGGATAATGTTCTTAGTGGTTTTCATAGAAGGCTCATTAGTTCTGATGTTTTCCCTGAGAATTTAAAACACTGGTTTATTGTAACACATCCACTTAATGAAAGTTTTTTTAGCTTTTGAGTAAATAATTGTATTTAATTAAGGTCAAGATATTTTGGAATTCTGGAAAATTGAAAAGTCCTGGATTTTGGTTCTTCGCCTAGTGTGTGTAACCCTGATTTGCTAATCTTTAGATGTTGGTAAATTTGTTTTAAATTTCTTAGGTGTTTATTTACTAGCACTTCAGGTCAGGTGATAAAAATTGCACCTAGAGCTGATAACTTTGAGTCTGCTTTAAACAACTACTAAAGTTCAAAAGTTACACAGTATTACCATATCAGTTGAAGAAAATTTAATTACTGATAAAGGCTTAATTCATATAGTTTAAACTGAGGTTTCACACACACGATGTGTTTTACATTCTGTTGGAACTGTTGTTTTTACTGTCAGATTATGTACTATTCAAGGTATTCTATCTCTGATTGTTCTACAACATTTCAAGATCATACTTCTACAAAACATAGAGAATGGTATGTTTCATTTAATGATGTTCGAAGCTTAAACAATTAATAAAAAATACTTAAGTTAATGCTACATGTTTCAGAACATTGTCTACAAACCTCGACTTTTGTTTACTAGGAAAATTCCATCTATCAACCACAGTGTTTTTAGATGAATTCTTGTGTCTCCACTTAGTCCTCACGAAACGTGTTTTTTATTATTATTATTATCAGTATTACTAATAATATGGAAAGAATACTGGATGCTTTCATTGTATCATGGAATTGTTGTAGTAAATAAGTCTGGTTAGTTATCTTTCTTCAAAGTGGGTTGCTAACTTTGTCATTGTTTTTTCAGGGCTGTTGATTTTTCAGTTCAAACAGTTTCATATACATTGCACTTCCATGACTTGTGTGTGTATATATTTATATACTAGTGTGATTCAACTATCAGTGTTGGTTTCTTCAGTATCAAAAGTACCACCTTTAAAAAAAAACACTTTTCAAAATAGGTTAAATTTTCTAATTGGAAACAACTTGCTTCTACTTTTTCTCTTTAGAATATCTAGTGTTGTATGGTTGGAAGGGGTGGGGTTTACTCCACAGCTCTAGAATATCTAGTGTTGTATGGTTGGAAAGGGGGGGGGTTACTCCACAGCTCTAGAATATCTAGTGTTGTATGGTTGGAAGGGGGGGTTTACTCCACAGCTCTAGAATATCTAGTGTTGTATGGTTGGAAGGGGGGGTTTACTCCACAGCTCTAGAATATCTAGTGTTGTATGGTTGGAAGGGGGGGTTACTCCACAGCTCTAGAATATCTAGTGTTGTATGGTTGGAAGAGGGGAGTTACTCCACAGCTCTAGAATATCTAGTGTTGTATGGTTGGAAGAGGGGGGGTTACTCCACAGCTCTGGAATATCTAGTGTTGTACGGTTGGAATAGGGGGTTACTCCACAGCTCTGGAATATCTAGTGTTGTATGGTTGGAAGGGGGGGTTACTCCGCAGCTCTGGAATATCTAGTATTGGGAAGTAAAAGTACAAAATCCTACAACCGGAGTGCTTTTGAAAGATGTTTTTTAGATGGAGGTATTTCAGAAGTGATATGTCACCATTCACTTTAGGAAACTTGTAACAATAACATGAATTATATTTTTTGGTGTTATTTTGTTATTGCCCAGTCTTCAATACATCTGAATAACATGTTTTTAAGGCTTAAAGTTAAGATTTTAAGTTTTCTTTGGTTTATTCTAATATTCATTCCACATTACCAGCTGATGCCAAAACAAATAGCTTACAATTATTTTTCTTTAATTAGCTTGATAATTAATGCATTTGTAAAAAAAATATTAATAATATTTATTATGACAAATTATCATGTTGTAATTAATTTCTTTCTTGCAGAATTTGTCACCATGATGACATCAAAATGAATGAAGCCTCTTGTCAACCTGTAATTAAAATGTTAAATATTTATACTGGTTTTCTGCTTTCCAGTTTTATGATTGGTGTTAACGTAGATTTAACACCCATTTGGTCTTGGTATTTTCCTTGTAAAAAAAATTTTGTACCATATTCCACAAGCAAAATTGTGTGATTAGTTTTTGGAGTTCTTCACTTTAACATCCTAATCCATGCTACTTGTATAAATTTCATCATAATCATAAAAGATATTCAAATTCTATCTTTGTTTTGGTCTTTAAGATGTGAACAAGAAAATCCTACATTCCAAACCATTGTTTACCAGTATAAGTTTGAATGTGAGATTTCAGTAATAGTTACTTAGAAATACTGTTTGTTCAGTTATCCATTAGCTACTTGAAAAGTCAAATCTTATCTTTAAACTGAAGACAAATTCATATAAATCATCATTAGTTGTATCATTGAAGTTTTCAATAAAATACAAACTTTAACACCTGTCTTATTCTAAACATTTATCTACATAAATGTGGGCAGATCTTTAACAATGTTTTTCTGTTCTGCTCATAAATATATCCACCAGGTATTCAGTCATAGTTTACAGTAGACTTAGTATAATGTATCCAACAGACATGTAGTTTTAAAAAAAATATTGTTAAAGTTATACAAGTGGTCTTAGATTTCATTTTATTGCAACAAGGTTGCATGTTCATGTAAACGTAAATGCTTGTTTTATAATATTTCCCATTCAGAATATGGAAGCACTTTGAAAACACTTATAAAACACTTTTCTTTCTTGCTCTAAGCAGTGTGGGAATCCAAGACTTAAATAAAGAAATGTTACTAAAATATGTGTTATATAGTTGTGATTCTTAATTGAATGAAGTGAAACACATTTATCCATAAAGCATTCATAAAATTTAAAAGTTTGTCACTGCTTAGTGGTTTAAAACCACAGATGATGAAATGTGGTTAAAACTTCTGAATTGTTGTTATTTAAACTACACAAACTACACTTTTGGCTAGACGTTATTTCAGTAAAATAATGTACATGAGCAAAATCTCTGAAGCAAAGCATTTTATACTCTAAAAAGTTCCATGTATAATAACAATAAAAATGACCAAACTGCCCCATCGTATATCACTGTGAGGATATGGGTCATATATAATTTAAAGCATGCTATTATAAGTACAGTAGGATTAACTGCCAACTAAGGTCTCTAATTACAGATTTATAATTGTTAGACATAAGTTGTATATAATTTAAAGCATGTTATAGGTACAGTAGGATTAACTGCTAACTAAGGTCTAATTACACATTTATAATTGTTGGACATAAGTCGTATATAATTTAAAGCATGTTATTATAGGTTACAGTAGGATTAACTGCTAACTAAGGTGTCTAATTACAGATTTATAATTGTTGGACATAAGTCGTATATAATTTAAAGCATGTTATTATAGGTACAGTAGGATTAACTGCTAACTAAGGTCTCTAATTACAGATTTATAATTGTTGGACATAAGTCGTATTCCTATAATAACATGCTTTAAATTATACCTTAGTTAGCAGTTAATCCTACTGTATCTAATTACAGATTTATAATTGTTGGACATAAGTCGTATCCTATAATAACATGCTTTAAATTATAGGTACAGTAGGATTAACTACCACCTAAGGTGTCTAATTACAGATTTATAATTGTAACGCACGCGAAATAGTACGCGTTCTTTTTAAGTTTGTTCTTTATAAAATTTTGAGATTAAGAACAGGAACGGTCAAAATAATTAGGTATGTAAAGTGATAACGTACATCTAATATTTATATATATATTTCCTCACTCTTATGTTTTATGACATTTTATGCTATTTTTTGTGTTTTCTCTAAGCAAACTTTTGTTTGACCAGCTAAGTTACTAAAAGAACCATATTTTAAAAACTCAAAGGAATACTTTCTAATTCTATCTTTAACTGAAAACTTTACTTTTACAAAATTCACGAAAGTGTAATCAACATAAACAATATTTCGAGTTCTGTATTGGGAAAAAATAGTGTTATAGGTAAATGTATTTTCAAACAAAACCTCAATTAGGAACGATATCTTCGGCCGTAAATCAAACATGTTCAGTCAGCCAAGATTAAAGTTAACTGTAAGTCCATATATTAAGTTAATCGTCAAAAGAACTTATTAATAGTAATATACAATTTGTTAACATTGTATGCAATTTTATTAATGAAAAATCCAATTATGTTATTACTTTCAAAACACAAAATTATCTGCACCAAAGATCAACACAGTTTACCTGAAAGCGACAGTTAATTTAGTTCACGCCGAACTAGTTGTTGTTTGTGTAATTTAATAATATGAACAGTGAGTGTCTCCACCACTACCGAGTGTCATAACCTACCCAGGCAGGTCCAGTCTCATGAGTTCTGGTGTGGGGCGAAAGGCCTCACAGACAATGTTGACATATTTCTTACAGTTGACATAGTTCTTAGCTATATTCATAAGTGTTTATATATTTACAGCAGTGCATAGCCATCTAACTAAAAATGAAAAAGTCTTAAAATCGTGACAAAAGAAAATATTAAAGCTCGTTTACACAAATTAGCTTTATGAAACTAGTTGATAATTAATTGTGATTTATAAAATATTCAAAAATTAAATGTTGAACTTAATTATAAAAAGTTAAATTATGTACCAAAAATCACATACAACCTTTTTGTATGTGTGTATAGTACAAACATTTCCATCAAAATTTGTTTATTCTTCCTCAATACAACTTTGTAATGCATTTAATTTTCACAGTTACACACACTATCGTTCACAACAATTCATTCACTTTCTACCGCGCTTGGGTTAATTGTCCGTCTCCGCCTGTCAGCAACTATAGTTCCAATCTCTGTATCTGCTATCTCTCTTTCTCTGCCTCGTTTTTCCGTCTGTCTAGCGCACTTATATACGATAATACTGCCTGTTCTAGAAACTTCTTGGCTCTCAACACGTGCTACCAGGGTCACTTGACTTCCGCTGTCGTAACACACTAGCGAATCTTCTAGAATACTCGTCACGTGACCCCCGCTGTCGGAACATTATGATAGAGTACGAAACATAAAATGTATGCAAACATTAATAATTTTAGTATTGAAAAAAGGAGTACAAATGTAACTGTAAACTAGCCATACGCTTACTAATCAACAAACGTTGTTAAAAATGTGACTAATAATAATACCCTCGAATTCTTTTTTAAGTTTTAGTTGAAGGTCGTATTTATTTTCTAATCGAATTTTAGCGTTACTCGTTCTGTTTTGTAGTTTAGTTATTATTATATTTATGATATATGTTTAATTAATCAACAATTTTGGAATGGTGGCTATTATATAAATATTTGTTTTTCCAAAGTCAGCTGCAGTTATTTTAACTGGTCGCAATACATATGGTGCTCTTGCAATGCAAACTTGTGGTATTTATTTATACGAGTATTGCACGTATTGCATCAAATACATGTACGTAAACGACATGTGTTTTTAAATATGAAAATATGACGATTTATATAACGTATTTTAAACTACATGGAAGTGTTTTATTTCATTTATACGTACTACCTCTAACTTAACATTGTTTTCAATCAAATATAACATAGTAGTTATAGTGACCTTATCAGTAAAATTATGCAAATCAGTACAATCGAAGGTTCAAAATCTTCGCTAAGCAATGTGTTCCGAGCCTTCGGACTAGTAGAAGTGCTCAGTAATACTGCTATAACTTGAAAAACAGATTGCACAAAGTGAGCTTGCATTACAGTTGTGTAAATATCCTTTTATTTAAAAAAAAAGAACGATAATGGAAATATATACGTAATTACAAAACATAAACATATGTGCTTGTGGTGTAGTGGTTATCACATCCGCCTAACACGCGGAAGGTCCCAGGTTCGAGCCCTGGCAGGCACAATAAAATTTTTTTTCTTTAATGTTCATTTATGTTTTCTACTAAATCGTTTACTTAAAGGTAATTTTTTTTTAATTTCACAGATATAATGTCATTCGTTAAAACTTCAACGTATTTACGTAATGTATAAATGCACTAAAGTACAAAGAATTTAGATTTCATTCTTGATAGTAATTTACACACCCATTTGATTTATTTACACGCTAAAGAAGCTTGGCACAGACTCTCCTCCACCCACTATGGAGTCCCGTCGTAGCACCTTAGTCAATGCACATTTCAGATAACTTTAACGCACACTGAAAGTTTCAATACAATTAATTCTTCGAAAAATATTTACAACCTAAGAAATTTTCACACTTTCGACATTTGTCATAAGCATTAAATCTCTCAGGTTGTTGCTGTTCATAAATATTGGGCCCGGC